CTGCATACTCGATTTGAACGTGGCGACGGCTACACTTTTTGGTGGGATACTGTGTCTTCAAGACGATTGTGGCCATGTTGCTGTGCTGCACAACCCAGGATGACAGTTGTCTTGAACGGAAATATCCCACGGATAGCGCGTCCTATGCCATGTTCAAATGAAGTGAGCGGCAACTCCCTCCCCATCTCAGGGATAAGGAGTATCACAACACCCACTATAAAACACTACGGGAATGAATGGTAGGCAACGCTTATGTTTAGAAGGAACATAGCGGAATCGGCCCCAAACTGCAGCCTTACCCTGCCGTTAGTACGAGTTTTGATGTTGAAACATCGCTTAAGATATAGATTTCGTACCAAAAATTGACTCTCTATTCTACAAATGTCGTTTTCAGCGCTGGTTCGGTGGTGCGGAAAGAACTCCGGAACGAGGACAGACAGTGTCACCACCACGAACAATGTCGCCAAATCGTGACGAGAACGACTATGCGACGATCGACCGGATCCGATATGGAAAGAGGGAGTGTGAGTGTTTCTCAGAATTACTTTGACCGCAGTACTCTCTTCATGCTTCACGCAGTACTCTTCGAAATCAGGCCACGGTGTAGTGAGATCCTCTTCTTAAAAAACCCGGGAAATGTTTACTTGAGCTTATCTAGGCACCAGACTGGAGGCATGCGTGCCTAATTGTGAGCGGCTCTATGGTAGGTGAACTGTATTTTTGACACTTTCCAGCAGACTCGCATTCTCATTACTGCGTTCAGGGTCAGGCGTGTTTCGCAGAACGTAGGGATCGTAGGTAACCCACTGGAAGGGGGGGGGGTTGTTCATGAAGTTCTCAGATCGGTCGCATTGTTACCCTTTCGTACGGGCAGACTATTTTTCTGCGACGCTTACTTCAGCGCTTTAGTGAAAAGCGTTGCCATGCCGTCCATAGACCTTTCTCGTAAGTGTTCGCATGTTGCTCTTATTGCTGTTCAACATTGACTCTGCATGGTTCATACGGAAGTTGTGTTCTCTGAAAAGCGCTAAGCTGTCGAATGGGCTATAGAAAATTAACCACGCATGAACCAACGCACCATCATTGCTGCTGTCACTGTGCATAAAGCCTGCCAAAGTCCCGACGCAAAAAACCGAAGACCCGAAAATAGCGTTCTACCAGTCCATGTACCTTCAGCCTTTTTTGCTGCATGTACTAGTAACGGTAGCGGAGTGCCTTGAGTGTCCCGGGAGTCAGTTGCTGTTTTCACCTACTAATTTCTTGCAAACCTTTGCATCGTTTGCGAGCAGCAGTGTGCAGCGAAACGTGCAAAGTACAATAAAAACAATCGAATAGCAAACTGAGCCAAACTTCCCCTGCCTAGCACATTTTCGTGATTGTTCAAAAGCTCTCCTGCCTATAGTCATGGCCTTAATGAAGGCAGCCGTCCGCGAGTCAGTTGAGATTTTCCCTCTCTTTCGTGCGAGCAGGAGTCAGATCCCGCTGAGGCAATCCAGACAATTTTCGCGCGGCCGGCGAAACGGCGTTGAGCGAGAGCCACGATGCCGTCGTTCTTATCAGTTGACCCGAACCTACAAATCGTATTGCAGCACGCCCCCATTCATTCTTAATGCTTAACCTGCAATAGTTCGTTGTCTCGTCTGCTCCGCCAGTAGCGTCTTCTCACTCAAGTGGTGAGACTGATTTGATAAGGGAAAACAGCTGATATTAACAAGTGAGAACTCGTGCGACCGCATCTTCTCTTCGCCTTGAGCGCGTACAACATCAAATTCAGCATTGGGATTCTTACATAGGACCTTTCCTATTGATTTTCTTCGCTAATTTTTCTTTACTAATGTGTTACTTTCTACCTTGGTATAAGCATTCGAGCCGCATAAGTCATCAAATTTGGAGTGCGAGCTCAGCCTTTAAAGGCAGTTGGCACGATAAATCCCCGACGAGACGAGTAGGATTAATACGCCTGGCAGGACGGAATTCCGCGACCCTGAGCAGGCGCTGCATAATGCCTTTTCCAAGGAAGGTGCCCTTATAAGGGCCCTATCAAGCCACAACATTCCGACCCAAACGCCCGCCCGCCCACAAATGGACGACCGTTCCTGACGCTCTAATCGATTCATTTGCTAAGCAAATTATGAAGCGAAGGGATTGGTATGAAGCGGCCGTGATGCTGCATGCATATATGAGTACACATATGCAGCCGTACCTTCGGTAGCGGTTATTGGCAAGATGCCTACGGGAAACTCGTCCAAAATTGATTTTGAACACATTGAGAACGGAGGCTCTTTCTTCGCAGGATTTTGACCGTTTCACTCCGTTCTTTCGCCATTTCCCCACTATATAGCGCCCTACTAGCATTTTAGGCCGAGCACCAAATCATCGTGCCAACTGCCTTTAAGTCATCCAGCTCCCCTTAGCGTGAGAGGGGTCGTCCCATCTCATCAGAAGGAGCGATGGAGAGGAGGAGTCATTCAAGAACGGCTCCCCTACTCCATCGTTCCCTCTGATAGACTGAGGTTAAGAACCCTGAAATATTGGCATCATTTTTGCCATATATCATTTATCACTCATGCGAAATTAGTCAACTCGTAAACTATCACGATGCAAAAGTGAAGATAAATAGAGTAGCCCTCACTGAAAGTTTAACGCATTCCCGAGGGTGAATCATTAAAAATGCTGTACACAACAATAGTTCACTCATTTTTCCAGCGGTCCGTTAAACGCTTGTCACCCACGTAACTGCAGTGTAAAATAAGCGCAGCGCATTTCAAAGCTCGCGAGACACTACGAGGGGGTGTCTCACAAAGAGCGAGGGAGCAAAGGGCTAGAACTTCCACTTTTTGTGCTCAATACTAGTTCGGTCTCATCAAGACACTCTGCGCAGCACAATCTGAAAGATGCATATGGCGACGATCGTAACGATGGCTTTTCTTGGACAGGCACATTCTCAATAATGATCCCTCCTTCTGAGATTGCAGACGATGAGCGCGCCAATGAAGAAACTGCAAAAGTCGGTGCCACTCCGCCTCCGAGATCAACGCGGAATGTGCCTTTGAGATGTCTGGATTTAACTCTTGAAAGGGGTTGGTCCCTCTAGAACGGTCGCCTTACTCTACTACACAACATCTAAAGCATTAATGAAATCTTCAAGGAGTGTGAGTCAGAGGCTTCCACATTCATCCAGTCGATTCGTAGTTTCAGCACTGGAGGTAGCGTGCTGGCTTTATTGTCTAATTGATGATGAGAACAACGAGCAGAGCGCATCTATTTCTGCCGTCAAACAGCTGCCTGATGTAAATAACTCGAGTCTGCCTGCCACAAAATCCTCGCATTACTGAGAACACCTCCGGGAAGTGCCGAAGGCCGGGCTCAAAGAAGTGATAAAGGAGAAACAGTGAGCGCTTCACTGATGTGAGTAATTGCAGGGCATCTCAAATAAGCGTTGTCCTGAGGAGGAAAAAACCCAAGAAATCTGCAACAAAATTCCATAAAATAATTTTTTCGCTGCCGAAAACTCATCTCAAAGCTAAATTTTGATCTGGCTAAAAGACAGTGAGAAGGCTAGTCCATAGGAGCGGAATGGCGTGTCCAACTGCGAGCACGGGCCGAAGAACTCTTAGGAAACCTTCTTGATTTGCTTAAAGAATGTTTTTTACAAACGACCCCTTACCTATGGTATGCCCCTCTTCCCCATCCCAGCTACCATCTTTCGCTGAGTTATTTAGTTATTTCTTTACATTCCTGCGCCACTTTCCTCCCTGCCTGCATAGTGTAAACTCCATTAGAAGCTCCGCCCTAGACAGCCACGCCCCGCGAATATAATTTGCCTTATGCACACTTTATACTCTACAAGTTCTATTTACACTTGTTTTCAGTTATATTCACACATATAGCTGGATAGACTTTTCCCTTACATTTTCTTCTTAAAATTTTCATTTGAATTTTCTAAATACATAGCAAGACGGACAAAATCAACATGAGAAACTTTCTATATAGCCAAATTATGACATTTACCTCAGCCGGTCAAATACGACCCCGTTTTGTTGCACACCAACAATTGGTGCACACTGTATTGATTACCAAAGCGAATAAATCAATACGTGTCTTCTTCCAGCATCGATGCCCGCTTCACCTCGCAATGTCCGTTTCACAGAAACGCCACCACAGGGTGCTGGTCGAATGCAAATGCAGTATCGGCTCCAGAGGTATGGATACCGATTTGTCTAATTCACATTTTATGGATCATTCCAATCGCAGACCTTTTTGCCATCTCTTATTTTTGTCTTATGCCCATGCTTCTTTCCATTTTTCACTGTTTTTGTGTGCTTTTTCTATTCTTCAGTTGTTTTTCAGGTCAATCAGTTGACAGCAACGGATGTTCGTTGTATAGTCGAACTTTCATTGTGTGATGCCGCGTATTTATAGTTTTTAACATCGCAATCAGTGGTGGGGCGGTGTCGTGAGGGCGGGGTGAGCCGGCCTCCGGCTACCTTGCTCTGCTGTAATGTAGCGCACCTAGTGATTGATATATTAGAATACAACAGTGGTGGCGAATCGCCACAGATGGGGTCTGTCAATCCACTTAAAAACACCGACTGATTGCGGATGTACCAACTGTACTTGCACAAACCTTCATTGTGAACGGTCATTGTGCAAGCGGATATGTGATAGTCGAGAGCTATACCACTTATTTTAGTTGTAGGATAGTCGTCTCGGAAAACACTAGGGAACCTCAGAACAGATCAAACGCAAAAAGCCAGGCGAAAACCACATTTATGTTGGTGGTTTCTTTGCCATGGTCTGTCGGGCAGCCCACCTGTTCTCTGTGTTTCTTATTTCTCCAATTGTAACTGGTAGTTCCACAGTATTTAACCCTAACTATAGAGTCGAAATGTAGAAGAGCATGGCATCAGATGTAGGGCTAACATATAGTAACACGTATCATTGTTAGTCACCGGGTGATAATGTTTCGTTGATAAACGTGCTTTTCAGCTTCTGGCAATCCACGGGGACCCGGTTCTCGAAGCACACAACAGTCCCTTACGCAGCTGGATGAAGCAACTCTTGACCTGCTCCGGCTCACCTCTGAGCCCGACGCAGGTGCTGCTGTATCGTTCACTTCGTCAAGGAGGTGAGCTATATTCCTTTATATGGCTAACATGTCCCGGATCGGCTACCGCCTAGTCCAACCAAGCCTTCTACCCTCGGGCACGGTGAAGCCAGTACCAGTTTTGTCTGGGAGGATGAGATCACTGACTTGTGCACAGGGCTCATCGTTGTTGGGGAATCTCCAACAGGGGGAGGTGAGTAGTATTTGATAGC